CCATCTATGTATACATATGAAGGAGAAATGAACTATGTCTACACATAAGAACATGGAGAATCATAATGATAATCCAATCAGACAAGAAGTAGAAAGGGAGGCAGTGGATAAGGAAGAAATGAATGGCATAGGGCCAGAACCAAGTCTAAACATTATCTACTAGGAGTACATGTTACAGAGTAAGTAGTTGCATCTAAACATGGACTATGGGTGACATTGTTGGTAAACATGGACTATGGGTGACATTAATTCACATAGGGCCAGAACCAAGTCTGAACATTATCTACTAGGAGTACATGTTACAGAGTAAGTAGTTGCATCTAAACATGGACTATGGGTGACATTAATTCACATAGGGCCAGAACCAAGTCTAAACATTATCTACTAGGAGTACATGTTACAGAGTAAGTAGTTGCATCTAAACATGGACTATGGGTGACATTGTTGGTAAACATGGACTATGGGTGACATTGTTGGTAAACATGGACTATGGGTGACATTATTGGTAAACATGGACTATGGGTGACATCGTTGGACTACAAATTATGTCTGAACCTTATCTGCTAATGGTATATGAATTCACATTGGAAAGACCAAGAGAAGTGCCCAGATCCCCACTGGACCACCAACCAGGAAGATCTTTTACTAGATACAGTACAATGGTTGACTTGAAAACCCTGTTTTTAAAGGTAGGTAGTAACTTCCCTTGTGCTGGCTTTTTCCATCATAGTCCATGGAAATGGTATGGTCTGGACTGAATAAGTGAGTAAAATTTACACCACAAGGATACCTGTCGTGGTCTTGTAGAACACCCCCTGTTGCAGTGGGCATTGGTAGAGCCGCAGTGGATGGGTTGAGTGCTTTCTGTTACCCCTAGCTCAATGCATATTTGGGGAAATATGTATACCTTGGGAGACATCACCAGCTACCTGGCAGGAGCCAAGAAAGGAGAATAGGACTCTGAAGAGGAAAATGTAATTACCCCTATCAAAGACTGAACATAGATGTAGGGAAGAACAGCAACTGGAGTGAATAAAAACCCTGCACGAGATTAAACAAGGATATGATGAAGATAAAGGGACACAGCCTTGTGCAGATCCATCCGCATGCCAGCCTAAAGGGTCTCATCCAAGGGCTGGTTAGAATGGGACATATGAAAGTGAGACAGTCGATGAATCTAATGCAATGAAATTTGAAAGAACGATTATTCACCTGGGCAGCCAAAGTGTTAGGAAAATAGTCTGGTCAGGATAAAGGAAGAAAAAGCAGGAACCACTGAAAGCATAGATGTATGAACAATGACAACAGTAGGTGAGAAGAAGAAGGTTGAAACAATAAACATGAAATCAATGGCTTGAATGAAGAAAATGTGAAACTTGGAACAAAGTCCCAGTCAGGCATGGGAGTAGGAGAGGGTAGATGAAGAAGGAAGGATCAGAATAAAGGGGAAAGGATAGGAGAAGAAAACAAGACAACAACTGGAAATGTAAAATGTATAAGATAAAGCTGCTCAAAACCCAGCAAGAGTGGAAAACTGGCAATCTGTGGTCAAACAACTACGGGGAAAACTGGCAATCTGTGGTCAAACAACTAAGTGGAAAACTGGCAATCTGTGGTCAAACAACTAAGTGGAAAACT